AGTTTCTGCACAGCAAAAGGAACCATCAACAACAAAAAAAAGACAACCAATTAAATGGGAAAGATATTTGAAGTGATATTTTCTATAAAGGGTTAATATCCAAAATATATAAAGAACTCATACAACTCAACAATTAAAACAAAACCAAAAAACAAACAAACAAACAAAAAACCCTGATCAAAACATGGGCAGAGGATCTGAACAGACATTTTGCCAAGGAAGATATACAGTTGGCACATAAAAAGTTCTTCACATCACTAATTATTAGGGTAATGCAAATCAAAACCACAACGAAATATCACCTCACACCTTTTAGAATGGTTATTTTCAAGAAGAAACAAGTGTTGCACAGGATGTAGAGAAAAGGGAACTGTCATGCACGGTTTGAGGGAATGTAAATTGGTATAGCCACTTCAGAAAATAGTATGTAAGTTTCTTAACAAAAATTAAAACTAGAAATACTATATGATCCAGCTATTCCACTTCTGGTTATTTATTTGAAAACACCAATTCAAATATATATAAATGAACATATATATATATATATATATATATATATATATATATATATATATATATGTTCATTCATTGTAGTGTTATTTTTAATAGTTGAGATATGGAAGCAACCTAAGTGTTCATAAACCTATGAATGGATAAAGAAGATATGATACATATACTGCATGCGTGTGATGTGGTATACACACGCACACATAATAAAATACTATTTGGCCATAAAGAAGATAAAATAGTACCATTTGTGACAATGTGCATGGACCTTAAGGATATTATGCAAAGTAAAATAAGTCAGAATTAACAAAAATTATGATTTCACTCATATGAAGTATATATATAAAAAAAAGGAAACAAATGAACTAATTAAACAAAATAAACTCATAGATACGGACAATAGATTGGTGATTACCAGAGATGAAGGGAACTAAGGGAAGGGCAAAATAGATAAAGGAGGGCAAATGTATGAGGAAGACTAAAAAGGAGACTTTTAGTGGTAAGTATGCTACAGTTTATACAGATATGGTATTATAATGTACAACTGAAACAAATACTGTCACAAACTGTTACCTCATTAAAAAAATTATGACTAAAGTAAAACATTGTCACATCCTACAGCTGTCTTTGTTTCTCTGTATCTAGAAGTTATCTGTGACTGTCATTCTTAGTTTAATTACTAATTTGCCTTGTACTCCCTGTTTTCATTATTCTGTAACTATTTTATTCTGAGAATTTGAGAAGAAATTCTGCAGTTATAGTTTATAGTAAAATATTTTTGCAATTTTTAATTTCTTTTAAATGGTGGGTGAATAATTTTCTTTGGCTCCTAAAAAAAAAAAAATGTTGAAATGCAGTTTTATTTTGATTTTTAACTTTCAGGAGGTTAATCATGAATCAAATCGTTCTGGGTTATTTTATAGGAGAGGCCTAAAATATAATTATGTAAAACTGTTTTGCTTTGATATGTACAACTGCTGACCTTGTGAATTGTGAATTTGAATATATATTTATAAGCATTTTAATAGTAAAATTAATAAGGGCACCAAAGTGAGTTTCCTTTTTAAACCAATATGAACATGTGAGTCATTAAAGTTGATACTTACTTTAAATAAAAGGGAATAAAACCTGAATGTCTTTTTTTTTTTTTTTTTTTTTTGTACAGACAGAGTGGGAGGGAGAGAGAGGAAGAAAGAGAGAGGGAAACATCGATGTGAAAGGGACACATCGAGTGGCTGCCACCTGCACAACCAACACAACCAACCAGGGCCGGGGACAAACTGCAACCGAGGTACATGCCCTTAGCGGAAACCGAACCCGGGTCTCTCCGGACCGCAGGCGGACGCTCTAACCGTTGAGCCAAACCGGCCAGGGCAAAACCTGAATGTCTTATATGATATAGTAGAGATACTTTACTGATATTTTGAGGCCTTTCAATTTTAAAAGTATCTGCCCAACTAAAAGATGATTCTTTCAATAAGTGCCATGGATAAAGAGAGAGAAAATGATTACATTTTATCACTTTTATTTTTTGTCTTTTTAAAAATTTAGACATAAAAAAAATAACCTAGATTTTTTTTTTAAAACATGTCATGTGAATTACACATTAAATAATGAAGTTCAATGTCTGGCCAGTGTGACTCAGGGGTTGACCCATGCACCAAGAGGCTACTGGTTCAATTCCCCTTCAGGGCATATTCCTGGGTTGTGGGCTAGGTCCCCGCGAGGGTGGAAGAGTATGCAGGAGGCAGCCAATTGATTTCTCTCTCATTGATATTTCTATCTCTCCCTCTTCCTTTGTCTCTATCTAAAAATCAATAAAAACATATTTAAAAAAATGAAGGTCTAAATGTAAACATTTCACTGCTCATTCACATATAATGTATATGCAGCCATAGTTAGCTGAGTCGGCATTCTATGTCAATGCTTTGGCATGCTGTCTTTTCCCAGTGTGTCCCAGATGTTATATAAAGTTCTGAGCATGTATTAAAAGTGTGCACACATGGGGGTGTATGTGTGTGTTTCAGGAGGGAGGAAATCAAACATTGGCCTTCATACCTTTAATAAAAGCTGCTATTTTGACCAAATGAAAGTTTACTGTTTTTATAAAAATTTACATGGTGAGCATTTATAAAATGCATAGTGCCTTATGGCCTTTAAATCTAACAGCTGACAACATACATTTTCTGGATGATGATCAAGTATATGTTGATGCAGCTGTTGCCACAGAAAGACATGCTGAAGAAGCATCTACTTTAGTTTCAAGTAGTTGAGTATGCCTCTTTGCCTTAAATGAGTACCAATGGGCTATGATGTTTAATAATGAGCACCCCCCTCCCTGGAAGGGATTTATTTATTTCCTTTTTATTGGAATTATTGGGGTGACACTAGTCAAGAAAATTATACCGGTTTTGGGTACACGATTCTATAATACATCATCTGTACAATGTTCGCCACCCCAAGTCAAGTCTCCGTCTATCACCACTTATCCCCCCTTTACCCTTTTCCAGTGCCCCCTCCCCCTGGCAATCACCACACTGATGTCGATGTCCATGTCCATGAGTTTACTAGAATCCAGATCCCCAGTTAAAATAAACTATAATCAAACTCTAAAAGTATGGGGGAAGAAGATAACCTTCAACTGCACAAATAAATGGTGAACTTGCATACTGAAAGTGACCAGTGTTCCAGAAAATCCAAATCTGCACTGAGAAGTAGACAGCTGTCTACAGTATAACTACAGTAAGTCTCCCATATCCTGGACTCATTCATTTGACTCTATATTCCTTCTCCACCTCGGACTTCTGCACCCTTCCTGCCAAAGCCTGAAAAGCTTTTCATGCTGTAACATGGTTAGAAGTTTCATTACTGCTGGAACAGTATTAATTGTTCAACAACCACTATTAAAAAGGATTTAGGGTTTCTATTACCTTTATTACATTACCTACTCTGTTTTAGTAGTGAAAAACTAAGATGATAAAATCTGCTATCATATAATTTATGTTCTCATCCCTGTTTCAACATTACAGAAACTCCTACTTGACATGTAAGCTGCACTTGTACTTTAGTCGTCACATTTATGTGGCTGTTCAACTTTCCAGTGAGCATTACTGGACTCTACAACCTACACTCCACACTTAAACACACATGGAAACAAAATATTCTTTATTTTCCCTTCCCTAAAGGAAAGAGACAAAACAACTTATGTTTGTTTGCATTTAGAAACTTATGGTACATTTCTTCTTTTTCATTGTGGTTTTGTAACTTTGCCTTAATAAGAAACATTCTTCATTTTCTGTCTGTGAAAATACATTATGTTAGTTAAAATTGTTTTCTTCTATGTGATATGTATATATTATTTACAAAAATATTTTGTATTGTTTTAAATACTCATGTTGGAAACAGTATATAAAAAGAAAAATGTTTAAAAAAAAAAAGGTATGCAAACCAACAAGATAGCTCACTGTGGTTGGTTTAATTCCACTTGCTCTTCATATGACCTTGGTTGAATTGTAATACGTTTTTTTTTTCCTACTACATTTCTAATACTGTCACTCAAAATTGGATCCACTTGTCTTTCTCATTAATTGCTGAATATTCCTGCCACTAGGAACTTTGGTCACTTCACCCAAAGGAAGTACAACCTGCATCTAATATAAATTACAGAACTCAGCCTTCTCTCACCAGTGCTAAGCATTTGACTTTATGAAGATGATGCAGTCTGTTTAGAATATACCCATATTGATAAAACTCAACAGAAAATTAGCTAATGTCTTAGAATCAACTTCTTTCTTAAGTAACAAAGAGCTTTTTATACATTTCATTGAACACAAGCCTGGGTGTAGAACCTGTTTTCAAGAGATGTTGCAACCACTGGTCCTGGAAGCCACAAGAAACACAGCAGGTTTTCCCTCTCTTCTCCTTCCCTATAGACCATTGCTTTGGGGTCACCCAGAGAAAACAGAAAAGAAGGCCGCAGAGGTTGAATGGGTGAAACACTGGGCCCAACTTCCCAGTGCAGCTCAAAGACTCAACGTGGTTTTAAATACTCTACTGAAGTTCTACATAAAATGTTCTTTGAAAGAAAACAGGTAAAGTTAAAAAAAAAATTAAAGCCTTTGGAAATCACATTAGATGGTGTCTTTCCAAATGTTACTTTGAGTTTACACCAATTAATTAACTCTGGGCTGAGATCGAAAGATGGCTGCATTTGGATAATTCAGGAATAAAATGAGTGACCGTATCAGGTTTGCAGGCTTGTCCCTCTAATCTCAATTGCATTATACACTGCACAGAGCAGATTCACTCTAACGATTCACGGATATCAATGAGATGGACCACTATATAGTGATGGCCCTGATCACGTAAGGTACAAATAAGATACCCAATGATTATTATTATGAATGGTAAGATAATATCTAGATGGTTCAATTCATAAATGGTCGTTAACAACTGATGTTAACTAAATAGGGTTTGTGGGATTTCGTAAGTACCCTCGTGCTGGAATATTCAGGTGCCTTGCAGACTTAATGACCTCCTCAAACTTCTCCATACTTTCGTCAATAGAACAGTTAATATTCTTCTTGCTGAAGGATTCAGATGCAGCACCAAAAACTGCTATCTCAGTGGCCCCAGCAGCAACCTGAAAAATATAATTTAAAGGCAAAAGCTAATACTTTCCAAAATGTAAATGACAGCAAAAGAAATATTAACTCCTCTATAAAGGCATACTTGTATCCCTTAACATCTGCCTTAGAATTTAAAATTACATTCCTCTCATATTGCCACATACTCTCTTTTGAAATGTAAAAATATTTTACAATAACAGAATAATTCTACAAACCGCAGCACTCATAAATATATGAGGCACAGAAAACACAGTAATGATTTGCCAATATAATATTGCCTTTCCTAAATTACGTTATCCTCAGAAATATTTAACCCAAATTATGCAAAATACCAGAACTCCAATAAAACCTCTTAATATCTGTGGAACACGTTATTTTTAGACCACTTATTAAAAGAGTATAGTAAATGCTTTGGTTTTCTTCTCTTCCTACAATCCAACAGAAAAACATTTTTCTAGTTCATCATTTAGATAATGTGCCAAATTTTCCCCCCATTTCTTAACCTAGCTTCCACTGGCTTATACCTTGACAGCTACAACCATATTCTTGTGTATCTGATGCCTAATCCTCTCGCCAGTCTTTAAACCCAAACATTTAACCTAATCAATTTTCATTTTGTCCCTTTTGCCATCTTCACTCCTTTCCCCAGGCTTCTCTAGTGACTTGTTTTCAAATGTCAAGCCTTCTAATTTTCCAGCTGAAATTTAAGACTTTCCAAGACTTTATCTCTTGCGTTGTGCCTACATTTCCCCCTCTTTCTGATACCCTAATAACACATTAAGAACAAAAATTCTGTCATCTTTCCTGCAATTTAAAAATATAATTATTGGCTTCCACTCTTTCATCCAAATAAAAATTTAACCCCTAAAATTAAAATTCTATTTATTGAACACCTACTACGGGCCAGTATTGTTAGTGCATTGTATGTATTTCTAAACGACAAGTAATCTTGTATACTAAGTATGACTATCCCGTTTTACAGATGAGAAAACTGGGGACAAAGAGGCTAAGTCACTAGCCCAAGGTCACAAGCTAGGAGAGGCTCTGGAGCCGTGTTCTGAGCACAGGCTTGCCTGACTCCCAGCCAAGATCTGTTTCACTCCCTTCCCTGCCTTTCTAAGCCACCATGGGGGTGTCCTCTCGGTATCTTTCCAAGGGAGATACATCCCCTACTTTGTTTAGGTCCAAAAGACAGCAATATTTACAATGTCTTAAAATGCCTCTTTTTTCTTTACAAAAGTGAAAAATACCCATTAACATCAGAAACAGCTACTGCAAGACTTTTACAATAAAGCCATAGAAACATAGCACCTCAAGCCTTTCCTTAAAATCATACTGATTGTTCTTTTACGTGTAATTATCAAAGCTTTTGCAAATAAGTTCCTAAATCACAGAAGACTAGAAGAAACAAGCCAGAAGAGAGATAGGGAAAGTTGTTAGAGGCAGCGCCAATGACAGCGATTCGCTTCACCTACAGGGAGAGCATTACAGCAACAGAAAACTGACCCCCCAAAAAGTTGACAAAAATAATCATCCACTACAATATTAATAAAGTATAAGATTATATCAAGAAATGGTTAGGTTATCCTTATCCATATCTTAAATCCTTATTTAAGAGGACTGTACAAAATATGCTTTCAAAAATTTTTCATCAATAATTGTATTTCATGGTAATTGTATTTTTGTGTTTTGAGTCCTTTGAATGATCAATTGAAAGAATCATTTATGCAGAGCACTTGAATCCCTACCTGTGCCATGAGGTTACTAATCTCCATGTACTCATGTGACTATATTAGCATCGTATATATACGGGATAACAAGTGAGTTACATTTGATACCATTTTAACTTTGTCAAGACCTTTAAAACAGTAAGAAGCATACTGATTTTAGAAAAAGTAGTAGCATACTTACAGCACGATGAAAACCCTGAAGATTAGGAGTAAGGACAGGATATCTAACTCCTGGATACTGACAAATGCCTTTCATCACTTCAGTGTGATCAGCCATCTTAAATATATAATAGTTATATGTAAATGTGTCACTTTTAATATTCTATCAGCATTCTTTCAGTTTTTCAAGAAGATAATAACTGCAAGCAATTATCTCATAGTCTATAAATTGATGTTTGAAATAACAGAAGTATGCCAACGTAGCTAAAAGTAAGTAGTTTTCAAAACCATACATATATAATACTAGGTTTAACTTATTCACATAAACTTTTTAAACTTATTCACATAAGGGATCTGCTTAAATAAGTGATTACAAATAATCATGAATCCTGAAGTTGACTATTTTCATTTGACTGATCTTTGCATTCGACTTTCTCTTTTTTTCATTTCACAGCCTCAAATCCCCGAGACTAGGGAGAGCCTGAAAGACAATATGCTGGGCATTTACCCTACACATGAAAATGTTATGTCCAAATAATTTCAGTGTATGAAATTTTACAGTGCTTAGTAAAATGAAAATTACACATTTCTGTTAGAACAATTTAATAAGGCTGAGATCCTAGTATATTGCATAGATGTTTTAGTTAGTAATCGTAAAAATGCTTTATGCAGTATTATCTTCGGATTACTATTTGTTCTCATAATGCAAATCAAAAAAATACAATGGAGATAGAGTACACAACAGAAAAATTTAACTTCTGCTCCCAAGACTTTATTTTTCTATATTGTCTATGAATCCATAAAAAATCAACTTTAAACTAAAATGTCAAATTTATAAGTTTGCCACAAAGTTTATAATTTAACCTCCTAAAACAATAATTGATGATCAAATCCCATAATCATCACACAGAGAAATTACCACTGACATAATCATGAGCTTTGCACATTTAAGAATAATAAATTATGGCATGAACAATAAATATGAGGAATAGTATATAAACAATGAAAATTATACAAAATTAGAATGAATAAAGCTGTAAAAACATATCAAACCAAAATTTTTATCTTCAATATAGGAATGGATGAGGGAAAACTTGTGTTTTCTCTACACATATTGTCTTGTTACAATAAACATGTATTGTTTTTAACTTACAAGCAAAATAAAAGTAAATCAAAGTATACATACTTTTCTTAATATAACTGCACTTTTGAAAAATATTACAATATTTACTCTCATTGGTCAATTGACCTGGTTGACTCTCAGTTAAAGGCTGAATTAAATTTAATATTTTTAATGAGTATAATTTGGATTAATTAAATACAATTTTAAATACATTTTAAATTTAAAATTAAGTATTTAGAGGCAAAAGAAGGACATCTCATTGATTCCATTATGCCTTATTGACATTTAAGCTTCCATGTTTCATTATTTCCATACACATTTATTTCTGTCTAAAATGTGACTCTTGCTCACTTATTTCTTAAGGATCACATGCACAGAGATCATATTACCACTTCACAGCTGCATCTTTCATAGATTATCCACTGTAGTTGTCTGCATTGAATAAAAGCTGTCTCTCATTTCATTCTAAATTGACTTGACTTTAATCCAGATGTTTACTGAGTACCTACTATGCCCAAAGCCCTATGCTATGCCCTGTAGAAAATATAAATATAGACAAGTAAGGGTCTTGCACTGAATAATTTGCAACATAGTTGGGGAGATAAAATAGATGCACACGGAAAGTTAACAATCCAAAGGGACATACTAATTATAAATGAGAGCACAGATTGTGAGAGATCAGATTGGAGAAAGGCTGGCAGGTTCCTATGATCCCTGACTTTGGAATATTAAAATTCCCCAAAATATGGCCACAACAATATTTCCAACTTCACATGATCTTCCAGAACCTCACCACTCCCCACCAACAGGTGGACTCTACTGACCTTCTACTTGAACCTGGACAAGCTTAGAGTACAGCAGAAACAATACTATGTGACTTCAAAGGCAAAGTTATGGAAAACGACACAGCTTCCACAGGGCTTTCTCTTTGGGGGAAGCCCCTGTGGGGAAATGAGCTGATATGCTGCGAGAAAACTAATTTATGCAGAGAGGCCACGTGATGGAGCCCACACAGAGAGACATATATGAAGAGAAACGGAGGCCCCCAGCCAACAGCCAGCATCATCCCCTAGATTTGTGATCCAAGGAAGATTTAGATAACTTTAGCCCTCATCATGCGAATCATCAGTTGAGGCCACAATACAGTGTGGACCAGAGACAACCTGTGCCTCTGTACTACCTTGTTCTAATTTCTAGCCTCAGATTTTGTGAATATAGCAAATGTTTATTTACACCACCAAGTTTCCAGGTAATGCGTTACAAAGCCCAAGACAACTGAAACAGTAAAAAATATATATATATGGCTGAAAAAGAGGGAGGGACAGGTGCAGAGATAACACACTGCTTGGATAGAGAAGAACCAGTCACTGTGATGTCTTTGAGTTGAGTTAACATTATACTAGAATTTCAGGATATTGTAAAAAAAAAAAATGGGGAGTGGATGTTAAATTAACAGAAGACTTGAACAAATGTAGTGTTTTAGGAAGAGTGATTTGCGAGAGATGCAAAGGGCAGTCTAGAGAGAAAAGAGGTCATTCTTAGGCAACCATGACAAATTCTGTTGTAGAGAAATGGCACAGGGACTAGAACCCCCAGGAAAAAACCAATCGGACAAAGAGACTACTGTATAAGAGACATAACCTTACTCAAAAAAATGTGATCCTCAGTATTTCATAACCTTCTTACTAAAATATTTAATGCTGGTGCGTATTTTAACACAATTTTAATTACAAGCAAACATGCACAAAAATTATAATAAAAACATTTAGAGCACTCATTCCTGATTTTAAACAGAAAGAAAAGCAAAGTTACTACTAGTTTTAGGATATTACAATGAAATCTACAGCAACACTCTCTTACCAGAGAATAATGTTAATTGATACTATTGACACTTATGTCTAACTAAACACAGAATGCTTAAATATTAGAGACATTTATATTAACATGATAGCAGATACAATTAAAGAGTGCTTCTCTAACCAATGCACAGATTGGGGTAAAGGGTGGCAGTGCACCATAAGCAGCATAAAGGGCACAAAACAAAACGTAAACTCTAGGAAATATAGGTAATCTAATCCTGTAAGTGATTATTTCATTTTACATGTCATTTAAAAAAAATGTTGAATCATAATGAATAAACTGATACAATGAAACAGTGATTTAATAGATGTTTCTTCAGTGGAACTAGACAACAAATAGAGATGACAGTAACTAAATTCCTAGTTCATGAAAACTAAACATTGATCATTAAAGATACCTTAATGAAATTATGATTATAATCCAACAAATCTGTATGTTTTCCTTTTTAAAAATAGCCACAATATAATACGGTCATTTAAAAAGTGACAGTATTCTCTCTAAATTTGGCCAATAAAGACAATTATGTAAAGAGCTTTAGGAAATCCTGATAGGATATAACTTTATTAGAATAAATAAAATAAAGCAGGGTTAAATTAAAGTTATAAAATCCCAACATTATTTGTTTGTTTCCTTAATTAAACTCTTAGGGGTATGTGTACACTTCAATCTTAATGTTCTTTTGATGTCTAAAGTTTATTATTTAACCAAGAATAAAACTATTTCTATATAGTATTACTTTGACATTTTAGTGTAACTTTTCTACCTCTGGTTTAATATTTTCAATATTTTGTTGTGACTTTTCATTTAACATCATAAAAATCCCCTATGTTTGGTTGGTATCATGTTTTGACATCATCTGGCCAGTCTGGGAATGGCAGTACCTACATGTCTGTCTAGCCAACAAAACCGGCTATACACCATGGTTAGTTCATTCACAGGCATTCACATTTTGATACGGATTCAAATAATCACAATATTTGCATAACACTGAGTCTTAAAATATGCAAAGGGTCACAAGGATTAGAATGTAATAGGTGTACAGTTAAGATATTTTATTATATTTGCTACTAATTCCATCGTGGCGTGATTAAATCTGGACACTCCCCATCATACATACATATACATCTTCTAATATTTTGTCTTTATCTGAATACTATTCTCTATCCTGAATGTTTAAAATTTCAATGTGTTCTCCAGATAACAGCAATGGCTAAAATATAGTTTATTAAGTGTCATCTCATCAAAATTTCCTAAAATTACAAAATTTCAAGATACTGCGTATGAGTATGTAGTCATAACAATGACAAAGGGTTTTCCATAAAGTCAGGAGAAGAAAATATGAAAGTTTCAATTATATTTTGAAACATATTATAAAATTTACTATTGGGGCATACGAAAGTTAAGTTCAAAGTATCATGAGACCTTAAAACCTGATTTTTGTAATTCACTTTAATATTTGAATATTGACTCATTTTAATATTTTATATACTTACTACGTATCTAACATTATGGTATAGAAAAATGAAGGCAGTGCAGTCAATGCATGGGCTAATGAGAGAAGACATGTATTTTTGTGTGTCTGTGCTCTGAAGTTCTGTGAAGCACAGATAAAGAAGCATTTTCTTTTGCAACCTAAACTAGAATAATGATAAATATTTAAGCTAAATCTTGTTTATGCCTAATATAAATAACTCAGGGGCCTGTTTTTCTTTGAAGCAAAATATTCATAGAGTTTCATACAGCAAAACTATCCATAGAGCTTAAAATTATTCAAAAATACTCATACAGCAAAACTATTCACAATGTACATGTATATTTTCTATGCTAAATTGAAATTCCTAGTGTACTGTAAAAGGAAAGGGTTTAATAATCCTAAACTTAAAAATACTTAAAGTTTCTTCATATAATTATGGGGTGACATTTCACAGAAATTAATTTAATTTTTAAAGTTATATAATACTTTCAAGTCCACTGAAATGGAAAGTAAAAATACTTATTAGCCTTCACTTGTCTTTCAAAAAACAATTGATAGAGAAAACAGAATATACACTGATTAAGTTTTGTTCAGTTCCAACTGAGTATATGTTGCGTGAGATATTCAATAAAGGGGAATAAAGATCGATGAGGTATTTTAG